AATTGAATTGAATTGAAAATTGAATTGAATTAAATGCACTGCAAGGAGAGAGGAGGCACAGAGTGAGAAAAAGCTGGTCTTAATGTATCCTGACACAAGTACTGCATCTCCACATGCGACACACAGTTTGACGTGACGTGAGACTCGAGCTATTAATGCAAGCATTTCTCATTTGGCAGCTTCGGACCCTCCGGTTTCACGTCTCTTCACTGCCTCTCACACTTAATTCTCGCAGCGAGGAGCTGAGACTCGAGTGAGAAAGCTGAGGAGACACATTAGCATAATGAAAGCACCTGTTTGCATTGCATAGAGTTCTATTTCTTTATTTTAACCATATACATTCAGCAGCATAAACACTCCCCTGTACTTGAGTGTCAAACAGCCCTCCGCTGGCCAATCAGTGAACTGTTAGAAAGCAGAATAGTTTTTTAAAGCTGTTTTAAACCACCACAGTAACAATGCAATTACACTTAATGACAATGTTAATTATTTATCCAGCATATTACAGTAATTACTGTGCATCTTGAAAAATTCAGGATTGTTGGTGCAGCAGAACTTAAATAGTCGCACGTTGTAATGGTTTTGTTTTTTGTTTTGTTTTTTTGGTGCAGCCTCCACCTCAGAAGTTGTTACCAGAACACGCCCAGACCCTGGAGAGATACGCGTGGGAGTCCTTTGATCCTCACAGCCAATGTAAATTCACCTCAGCACTCGACTACTTGAGTATAATAATGTGTCATTAATCCTGCGCACTTATTGAAGTTGTGTAAATGTTGTTTTTTGTCTTCTGTTTCAGTGACCTTCCTGCCTGAGAATGTTTTCCTGCTCCTGCAGTCCGTAGTGGTGAGTTTCATGATAACACGGTCTGAGTCTTCCTGTCTCGTACAGGAAAAATAATGGTCTTCACGCCCTTCATATGACAGTGATGTATTGTGTGTGTTGAAGTTTGTTTTGTTTTTTTTCCTTTGGCAGTGAAGTGATTCTTTTTTTTTTTTTGTTTGTTTGTTTTTGCTTCAGCATTTGCAGTTTGCCAGCTTTTTGTAGGTTTTCTGCCTCAGAATTTTTCCCTCTTACACTAAAAATATTCTTTTTGTTTTTCCAGTCACAGTAAAAAGAAGCAACACGTGACACATTACATCATGTCGGTATTTTTACAGAGAAGCCAAAATATAGAAGCACTGTGTGAAAAACACCTTTAGTTCTTCTGTAGGTATTAAGAGAGTAAGAAGCAACCAGGTGCTGCTAATCAAATGCACAGACGTTTTGGCAGTTTGTTGGCCTGCAGCATTCATAATCACAGTGCCAATGTGGAAGATATCAGCAATGATGTGAGAGAAGCAGCTGTCGCTGCCCTTCAATCTAGGCAGGATTATAAAGCTGATTCCAAACAATTTGAGGTCCATCATTCTGCAGTGAGACAGTCACAAGTGGAAAACATTCAAGATACCTGTCAGTCTTCCCAGGAGTGGACGTCCCAGCAAATGAATCCCAAGATTAGATTATCCAGTGGTCAGAGAAACTGCAAAGAACCCAAGAGCTGCATTTCATAGGCTCAGTTAGCAGGATACATGTTAAATTGCATGACCATACAGTTAAAGCATACGATAAAGCCTCTGCTTTCAGAACATTGAGTTTGCAAAGTTGCATCTGAACAAACTACAATACTTCTGGAACAGTGTCCTTTGGACCCCAAGCACAGCAGCAAATCTCAAACAGAGAATGGCTGAAAAAGAAAAGAAACAAGGCCCAAAGTTTAGACCACAAACTTAAGAGAGCTGTGCATAAACAAAGGACACATACCTCACCACTAAGGTTGTTCTACAATTTACTGAATCTTGAGTTGATGTTTTTCACACACTGCTTCTGTTTTTTGTTTTTTTTAGCTGTTTTGTTAAATAATGATGCAATGTCTCAGGATGTCTTTACCTAATTTTAAGACCTACTATGGACCAAATAATTCTTTTTATTGCGTCCTGATATGTGACACATAACAATTGACAGAGGCCATCCTTTTTTCTTTTTTTTTCTTTTTTTTTTTTTAAAATAACTGTATAAATTAAAAAGTTAATAAAAAATAATCATGTGTAATGTAGAGAAAGTTTCTTCTCGAAGGAGCACGCTCTGTCTTTGGGAATGAATGGCCGGTAACAGAGAATAAATATTAACAAGTCAGAGGCCTCGTCAGGGTCCTCTGAATCTGCAGTTATGTTTTTATTAGTGCAGTGAATAACAGCAGATCTGTTTTGCAGATGGCGTGTCAGGAGAAAGACACAGAGTCTCTAAAGTCTCTTCAGACTGAGCTATGGTAAGCATTTACAAATGTTAATTTCCATCATGTGAGAAACATCTTTTACTGCTTCTCATTCTTAATTTTCCATATTGATCACATGCTTTATGCGGTTTTCCCCTTACAGGCCGTTTCTGACAGCTGAACAGAACCATCTTCTCCACCTGGTGGTTCAGGAGCGCATCACGCCGTCTGGTCAAGGCATTTAATACAGTCCAGTTTTATTCGCTTCCTCTGGGAACGATACTTTATATAATGGAACATTCCTGTTTCTGAATGGGTCTGTTGTAAGGCCCGGAGAAGGGTTGTTTTCAAACTCCAGTGTTGTAACTTGGACTCAGAGAAATGTTAAACTTTGTGCTTATTCAGTCACGTAGGTTTGGAAATCAAACTGAACTATCTTCATGTTGTCCTCAGACGTGCAGATTGCTGTTGCTAGGAATGCTTAGCTAAGAATAAATGTTATGTGTGTATCTGAGTGGAGACTATAAAACTGGACCACGTCATATGTTTTTATTATGTAAAAGTTTCAAATGTAGAAGAACTTATTGTGTTTACAGCTGGTTAGTAGATTAAACACGAAAGCTTTGTTTTATCATTTTTATTAATAAATGACATAACATGGCTTAAATTCCAATATAACAAAATCTTCTACTGCATAGTTCTGTAATATGGTGCAATGACACCTCTGTCCTCCATCCCTGGGTCACTTAATTTTCACTTGTACAAATGCATGTACTTTTCTTATGATAGCAGCCCCCTACAGACACATAAGTAAACACAATAATAAAAAAACAAAATGCAGCTTAAAAATATAATGGTTACAATGTACATAGACTGATGTATAATGTATTTGTTTTTTTCTAGCTGTAAAATAACGATTAACATGATTAAAGCTAGTTGTAAATGAAGGATTGTTATTTCCTGATTGTTCAAGTACTACAACAGGAATGTTATTTGTCGGTTTTTACTCCTCAGTCAGAATTTTAACATATTAAATGATAAGATTTAGTCTCCGTCAACCTTTCTGAACCTTAAAGGAACTGGTAAACATTTTGGGACTAAATTATTTACTATCTTGCTGAGTAGGAGATTAATACTAATTGTTTGACTTTCTACACTAAAGAGGACCAAGGTTTTAAAAAACAAAACAAAGACCGTGACCATGTAAAGAGAGTTTCCTGAGCAGTTTTCTCTTCCCATCGTCTTCTACGCAATCACGCTGCACAGATTCGCCCCCTGCTGGTCGTTAGGAAGAATGCAGCTCGGAAGTTGTGACCATCTTTTATGCACAGTCTTAGCAGAAGAACTGAAAATGTGAAAACACTGGCTTCAAACCGCCGTCACCTCTGAAGTTAGAGTCTCCCCTTTTTGTTCGCACCCAGCCAAAAATGCTCATGTACAGCTCAGTGACTGTTTCACTAAAGCTAAGCTGACCAAAAGTTCACTCAAATCAATCTTGCCATTTTTTTTTTTTTTAGCAAAAAATGACAACAAACAAACCAACCCAAAGCGAATATAAGCGTTTCTCAAAATGTCACACTATTCCTTTAAAGTACTTATGTCTGAACTACTACTACTATTTAAGACTAAATAACTGATTTATTAGCTATGTTCTGGTAATATTCCCAATAATTCAGCTCTATGAGGCGTTTTAGTCACATTATTAAAAAGAAAAAACATTATTTTGTTTGTCAGTTTTGCTGAAAAAATGTGCTTTACACTTGTAATGTTAGCATTTGCTCCATATCATTTTATATATATATATTTTTAAAAAGCTGTATAAACAAATGGCTCTCATTAGCATTTGGACATTTTGCTACAGTCGTAGCTTCAGATGGTGTTCATCAATTCTAAAAGAGGAGAACGAGCCCTGCCCTCTGTTTTTCCTCTCACTCTTTCTTCTTACGCAGGATGAAATAGGTGAGCGCTAAGATGAAGGTGAGGACAAACGAGATCCACGCCAGGATGTAGCAGTGTCCGTAACCTCCAGATGTGTCATTGACGTGGAGCTTGGCTGTGTAGATTGAGGCTCCTGTCATTATGCAAAGGCCTGCAAGAGGGAAAATTATTATTACATGCAACCAAGACAAGGCAATCAAGAAGTAATTATTTTTCTATTATAAGATAAAGCTCATGATGTGACCAGTGCAATCACAAGGAAATGAAAGACATGACACTTTCACCTTGTTAATTTTCCAGTGTTATGAACTCATGACATTCGCACTTTGTGTGAGTTTCTCATGTGCTCGTAGTACTCTCACTGATAATGCATAATTAACTTAAAGCATGAAATTTTAATCACTCGGGACCTTTTTTTTTTCTTTTACACATGACATAGTGGCAAAAAACTGACTCGGTTTGTGGTCTTTTTGTTAGGAGGATTTGCATGAAAATGTCGTTTCTTGACTAAAATAAAAAGCAGCCGATGTCCAATGAAACTTTAAAAAACCTCCAGGAAGCCTGGAGAACTATCGCTTACTTTAAAAAGAAAGCCTGGCTTCTTGGAAGCAAAGCATAGACATGATAGGTGGCTCGGGCTTTCGTGAGTGAATACATTTTCTAGATTTTGCTTCTCAAATGTGAAAACTTGATGCTTTGTTGCACATTGACGGCGAACAAAAATGTTTGGGGGTGTTGTTGAGAAATCAGCACACCTGAGGATGCTGGAGCAGGTGTGCTGGACAACTTTTTTTTTCTAGTGAACCTCATGACATTAACAGAAGCAGCACACTGTTAAATGTGATACTGTTAACTATTTGAACTTGTTAACTATGCGTCATTCATTTGTGACGCTAGCATTCAAGTCACCTAAAAGACTAACACACCGCTGTGCTGTGGCTGAGATCAGCGTCTACTGATTTTCTACAGATTTCATTTGTCTGAGATGCAAACATGCTCACCTTGCTGATCCATCACAGTTCACTGGTTATTGCAGTGTGTGATGTACACACAGAAAGTGAAGAACTTCTAATCACTGGTTGGCTGTTTTGTACAAACTAATGAGAATTCAAATCCACTGAGTAGTCAAGGGTCTCTCAAACAGTCATATCGAGGGCAGATTCATCTTGTTCAGCACCAAATGAAAGTGTTTGAACTCAGGAATACTGATGATTACACGACAGGGCTGCAGCTACCCATTATTTTAGTAATCTATCTATTATTATTAATGAGAAATAACAAATATTCAAAAGAGAAAAATGAACTGTTCATTGATTTTCAGTTTAGAAACTGCAAGAAAATAGCAAGTTTACCTGCAAACATCTCTTAATAAAAACAAACAAAAATAGACCCTTTCCTTGTTTTTACTCGCCATATTGCAAAAACAAATAATAACAAGTACAGTAATCTCAAATACATACAAGCTGAACTAGCGCATGAAAATGAAACAGCTTTTACTCTCTTCTCAGAAGTCTTTCTTACATTAAGAGCAGGCCAAAAGAGTTCTGGTGGTATTAATATCTCCTTAATGAGGTAGATTTGGTGTGTGTGTGTGAGTGTCTGCATGCTTAGATGTGGTAGTGAATGCGCAAATATGCCTTTAAGTATTTACGCAAGTATGTGGCGGCTGCAATGAGGAAAAGCAGGCTAATCAGCATTCTCAGAACTGAAGCTTTGCCCTGCGCTTCGATGCAACGTTTCGTGCTGCAGAAGACAAACGTTACAATGGTGTGGATATTAATAGTTAATGTTAATAATACCAATTTAGTATCCAACCTAACAGCCTCAGGTCAGTGTCTCGGAATCTGATTTGAATCTGACAGCCCACTGGAAAGAATTGATATAATTTAATTGACTTATTTATATTTTATATTATGAGATAAATCTTATTTTTTGCAGATTACATTGATCTAAATCTGCATAATAGTGTTGAAATTAAATGATGTGCACGCATCAGGATGTCACTGCTCTGACAGTATTACTCATGTTATCAACACTGGTAACAGGAAAGCCCTGACCACCCCTTCCTAATTTGGGTGTCAACCAGTCAGACCACTTCCTCCACATCCATGTAGTGAGAAGCCATTATATGACCTTTGTGTGTAAGTCGATTAAACTCTGCCCAGTACTGAAAGAGGAGTGGTGATTGTTGTGAACTGACACAGATAGATAGATGCCTCGCCATGCAATGAGCCCATTGGCCTGTTGAACGGATGAGGCTAAAAATTAGTTTAATTATTTACCAACATCCCTTATGAAGCTTTAAGTTCGAGAGTCGTGCTAACTTATTTAGTTAGACAAAAATCACATATGTCAGGTTTGTCAGTTGCACATCCTCCAGAGAAAATCATAAAGTCAGCCAAAAGAAACAAGACTGCAGGTAACTTACAGGCGATTATCTGTAAAATGCCAGTGAAGGTGAACCTCATTCCTTTGGGCAGGGTGAACAGCTGCGCCACAAACACAAACAAGGCAAGGATGGTGAAAACGCAGGCCAGCACTGAAGTGGCCTGCACCGCCTGGAGATAATCTGCAGCAACAAGATAATAAAAAAGTCAATAATAACACAGGCGTGAGGAAATATTCGGCCTTTTCAGTTTTATGTTTGTATTAACACCACTACCTACAGATCTACTCATTTCAGACTGACAATATTTACTGTAAACAGTGTAATACATGATTTGTTCCGTCATCATCTTTGCCCTTCATTATATTAATAATGAAAAATCACTAACTTTAACAGGGGGGAAAAATCTGTGGAGTTTACCTTCTGGGTAGCCTTTCAGATTTGTGTAATGCCACACATTGTTTGAGAAGTCCCACCTGCCCCACAGGTCAGCTGACACTGAATTGTCGACCCACCAGGCCTGACGACACAAAGGAAAGATTTAAAGTTCATGCAGATATGTTACACATTTTCTAGAAACCGCTGTCAGATCTCCTCCAGTTAATACAGAAAATAACATCATCTTACATTGTCAATGGCGGCCACCAGGAGCAGGATGATGGTGGTTATGTGCAGAACAACGATTGCTGCCAGCATCAACATTATGGCCTTCTGAAAACTGATAATGGGGTGGGGGAGGTGGAAGGAGGCACACCGTTATTTATTTTGCAAGCGCAGACGTATGTAACACGGACTCGTACACGAGGGAGTATTAATTACACACAGAGAGAGAAACTGTGTGAAACAAAGAAATAACAGTAACAGAGAAGAGAGCCGTTTTATACAAGCCCAGACTGCAGAAATCATGCAGGCATAAACATTTTTGAATAAAACACATCTGGTGTCAAACACATCAGTGCTTTCAATCTTTGTCATTACGTTTATTTATTATTTATTATAATTAATCAGCTCAGATTCATTAGCACCAATCACTGCGCCTGTAAACGCCCGCAGTTTGCTTTGAGCCTCTTTTTTTTACGTCTTTCGAGCGTTTCCGTCGACAATAAAGGCGCATTTGTTAAGACGGCATTCCCAAACGGATGACACACACAGGGCCCGCACTGTAGTCGATAACTTTAAAAAGAGCGCGATAGTACGACAACAGAAAACAATAATAAGCACAGCATAAACTCACGGACTATTCAACGCTATGTTAGTGCGCCAAATTTCCAGTTGCCCGTCTTTTTAGGACTTTTTTTGCGCTCGCGGTCAGTCATATTTCTTGCCCTTAAAGTAACTGAAGTTTTTCCTACAGGCTTAAAAAAAAAACCACTTCAGCCATCCGTAAGAGGGTTTCACAGAGTGTGCTCCGTAAACCTTCGCCTTTCTACAAGTAAGCAAAGAGCAGAAACGTTACCTGAACGCTCTTTAACGCACCGCGCGGGAGTTATTTGGGAATGTGAAACTCTGTGGACCCACCCAGCTTTGAATTCACAGCACACACATCACCGTGTTTTCCCTCTTCTTCTTTCCCCTCACCAAGCCCCACCCATAACGTTTCTCGAGTGAAAAGTCCCAATGAAATAAACGGTGTCAGGTCGCCTCTTCCTGCAACTCCAGTGTGTGCGTAAAGGCGAGTAAGATCTTCGAAGAATTGCGTATCGTCAGATTCATTTAAAAACAAACAAACAAACACTCGACAGCTTCACACGCACTATTTTAGTTGCTTCTTTAGTGTTTTACCTGGAAGATGTTTTTAATATAGAAATATCTTCATTATCTCTGAGCGGCTCACCTGTGTGAGCTGTAGCTTCACTTTTTTAAGTCGCACATGGATACAAAATGCCATTTTGGACACGCTTGCAGAGCAGCCATAGTGTATCCTGGACTTGTTTTCAGGCCACTCACACGCCAATTGCCGCTTCATTGTGTACCTAAATTGACTTCTCCAAAGATGGGACATTAAGAATCCGTGCATGGAATATCGCAGTGCATTGTGAGCCCCAGGGAGCTCATATTCAGTTCAGCAGCAGTTTCACTTTGATGGCTGAGACTTACGTTCAAGCAAGTGAAAAACAGAATTCATGTTCATGCAGATGCATTTTTGTCTGTTACAAACAAATGAAAGTAAGATCGTTCCATTGATAAAAAGATATAAATAGATTCTTACCTGCGCCTCAGTCGGCCTGCACACGCTATGCACTTTTATGTTTCGTGCGCCACTGCCAGAAAGCAGAAAAAAACTGCTGAAACATCAGAGGGTCTTAACATATTCATACTGTCCGAAACAATACATGAATAGTTTCTTCACTGAGAGATGTAATTTTTACCTCTCAGTGAAGAAAAGTAAGAAAAAGGTCATGTTACTTGATGTCACACAGACTGCAGATCTCTTGGCTGTGTCACGGCTTTGGAAAAACTCTGTTTACCCCATAAGCAACCAGCCGGTACAAGGATTTGCACACTTCACACTGTGTTTTGAAAGAAAAGAAAAAAGAAAAAAAGATTTTCCTCAAATGTTCGTCAGAAACAAAGAAGAAAAGATGGATGTTCAAATGTAGACAAACTCCAGTCGAAATAAGAGATGGCTGAAAAATAATCAGCACCCAGCTCACTTCATTGTGTTTCGAGGCCAGATTTTAAGAGAAGTTAGTGCTCCACTCATTTGTAGCACAAGATATTTATATAAAAGTCAGTAGTCATGTGATGTGTGTTCACAGTGAAATAGTTGCTGCTGTGCCCAAGCATGTTTAAACTTTTGTTTTCATTATTTATTGTTTCAGTCATCATAAAAAGAAAGTACTCTCCCTGTTAGCTCTACATATCAGGACACGATTGGAAAAAATTATCTTCACCGAGTCTTAAAATTAGGTAAATACAACCTCAGATGACCTACGAAATATTACACCATGTCTCTTGTAAAGCAACCTTTAGCAGCACTAACAGGCCACTCCCACACAGTTTCTCAGTCTCTTACATCATTGTGGAGGAATTTTATCCCACTGTTTTTTACAGCTTTGCTTCAGCTTACCGCGGTTTGCTAACATTAGTTTATGTGCAGCTCTCTTAAGGTCCCATCACATCTTCTTCAGTCAGGTTGTGGTCTGGACTTTAAACCATTACAACACCTTGATCTTTTTCTTTTTCTTCCAACCTGCTGTAGTTTTGCTGCTGTGCTTGAGATCATTGTATTTTTGCATGTCCCACAAGCTATGCTCTTTAAAATCCTTTGCTTTACAGAGGAGTCAGAGACTGTAAGGTACCCAGGTCCGGTGGCTGAAAAATAAACCCAAATCCTCAGCCCTCCACCACCGTGCTTGACAGATGGTATGAAGAGTTTGTGCTGATATCCTGTTTGATTTTCACTAGACATGGCACTGTGGCCGAACATGTCCACTTTGGTCTCATCTTTGCAAACCTGTTCTTTTAAGACAGAAGATGTGTTGCAGCCACATTTCATTTTCTGATCTACAGGAGGGAATGTCAGAGGGAAAATTGTATATAATGTGATCAGCTTCATGAGATGTGCTCTTTTTATTGATCACTAAGCAATCTACATGTCTACGTGACCTTTCACCTAATAACTTTTGTGGTGATGAACTTATTCAGCTACTAACTGCTTCCTGTCTTCAGAGAACATTCAGATGTAGAGAAGGGAAAAACCTGTTGCTCTAAATGACGTTGTTATCTTTGTACACACACACACACACACACACACACACA